ATCTAATTTGTTTGTTAATAAGTTGTTCAATAAAAATGATAACTGTTATCAAGTTAATAGAAACTTTTCATAATAAAGAATAAGATTGTTATAACATACAATTATTCTGCAAATATTTTAATTTTTTAATACAATACCATTTATTTCATTACATTATCATATCTTAAACGTTATTTAATTCTTTTTATATCACAAGAATTGAAATTAGTTATAAATTTATTTTATAAAATATTTTTTTGCTTCTTATTTTTTGTTTTATTTATTGTATGTTGTTTATACAAATTCAACATGTTTTATTGTTGACCATATAACGTTTAAACTAACATTTTGATTGTTTTAAATATCCACAATCTAATTGTGGATATTATAATTTAATTTATATATAATTGAAATTTAATAATAAGAAAAACGTTTACAAAGAATATAATGAAAACAAATTTATTTATTATGAGTAATGTAGAGTGGGTCAATATACGTTATCCAGTATACATAATAGCTATAAATTTATGTAAACAACATAGATTAGTTCAAATTAAAAAAACAAAAACAATTGAGATAAATTATCCAAACTGCTTCTTTAAATACTACATTACTTATATTCCAAAAGGTACAGGATATTTTTTAAAGACTGATAGTATTCAATATAATATAAAATAAATATATTTTTATATTGAATAAATATTGATCTGAATTGTTTGTTGATATTAAATAATATAAATAACAGTTTTATTTATTTGATTGTTTATTATCTATATATTTTAACAATAACTGTGTGGTTTGTTGAGTAATAAAGTCTTATTTGTTTGACAAAAAACAATTTTTAGAATGTTAAATGAACAATTACCATCTTTAATTTTTTGTCTTAGAATTTTTTTTAATAATGATTATGAAACTATTTTACAGATTCTATTCATTTTTGAGTTTAATTCTATTAAAAAACTCCAACAAAAAAATAATAACAAAACATATAACAAATATTGTGTTTGCAAAAACGCAGGCCGAATAAAATTGATTTTCCCGTTGCAACCGCGGTTTTCCTTACCATTATCCTAAAATAAAATGCGCGGGCCGGAAGTCTAATAATTACAGATGCAAGAAAAGGTGGTTGTCACGAGTATAAAAAAGTATTTTTTATTTATTTTTAATAATTATAAATTGTTAGTTGTTTAACAAGTAAATTTACGGGAAAGCCGTGGTAGTTTTGATTGATTGTTGATTGATTCAGAAAGTGGTTGTCAAAAGGATGAAAAATTTAAAAAAGACTATTCTTATATAAAAACAGAAAAACCACAAAAATATTTTACTCATTTCCAAAATCAAAATTGACTAATCATGTCGTATTGATATAAAATGAATTGATGTTGGGAATGTGTAATTTATTATGAATAAGTTGGGGATGTAAATTAAACAAGCAATAATCCCGATTATCAAGTTTGTATATTTTAAAAGTTGAAAACGAATTATTAATCATTAGGCATTCATTGATAAACAACGTGTAATATGACGCTGTATTACAAATATGACATTTCGTTATGAAAACTGTTGTTTGTGTTCAAATTAACCAAACATTTTGTGCTTGTTATTGTTTCATTGTCTATCTCCTACTGTAGTAAGGTTCACCAAAAACACAAATATACGTCATTTAATAAGTTTTTTCAAATATATAATTTTTATTATTGTTAAAAGTTTAAAATATTAACATTATTAACATTTGTTTAATGCCTTAAATAATAACATAAAATGAATTAGTTAATATTTATTATTTCATTTGTAAATCTACTTACTCAATACACTTGGAGAATTGTTGGGAAAAAATCGATATTTTGTTTTTAATAACATTATTTTCATGACAACCACTTTTCCATGACAACCAATAATCT